TCATCTTGCGGCTGTTACAGGGAAGTGGTTGCTGTGACAGGAGACGGTACAAATGATGGGCCAGCGCTGAAGAAAGCAGATGTTGGCTTTGCGATGGGTATTGCCGGGACAGATGTCGCCAAAGAAGCATCCGATATCATCTTAACCGATGATAACTTCACTTCCATTGTTAAGGTTTGCATAGCAGCATTGACAGCTTTGACAGAGGCATTTAAATATAGCCAAACCTGGCACTTTTCCAAGATGCTATTTTGCGGAAATTCTTTCTACGCCACATCACGGGATATCATTTTCCAGGCGGTAATGTGGGGCCGAAATGTGTATGATTCAATAGCCAAATTTCTGCAGTTCCAACTAACTGTGAATGTGGTCGCTGTTGTTGTTGCATTTGTCGGGGCTTGCGCCATCCAGGACACGCCTTTAAAAGTTTGTACCAAAATTTCCATAAGTAAATTTACGAATGAATGAATGCTTGCTGTTGTGCGGCACATTGTTTTTAGGCAGTACAAATGCTTTGGGTAAACCTCATCATGGATACGCTGGCGTCTCTAGCACTGGCGACTGAGATGCCAACTGAGGATTTGCTGAAACGAAAGCCATATGGACGCACAAGTCCTCTGATTTCCCGTACGATGAGCAAGAATATCCTGGGCCATGCATTTTATCAGTTGCTCATCCTATTTGCTCTCATTTTTGCAGGTATACATTCAAACCGGTTTTTTACTTACTAAAATTTTGAGTGTTTTCTCATTTTGGGGTCTGTTTTTTTCGGCCGGAATTTTGCAAAGGTTGGGCGAGAGGAGCTGCATGTGGGCTGGACTTTATTACAAAACTTAAATTTCAGGTGAGCGGTTTTTTGAGATCGAAAGCGGCAGATGGGCGCCGTTGCACTCTCCTCCCTCCGAGCATTTCACAATTGTTTTCAACACATTTGTAATGATGACGCTTTTCAATGAAATCAATGCACGGAAGATTCATGGCGAGCGCAATATCTTCACAGTTCGTCCTCCTTCTTCATTTTTTTTTAC